ATTTTACTCTTGGTCTATAGTTGCTGCCCTTCCTCCTCCTCCACATCATGCGTCACTTCTGATATTGATCCCTCTACATAATCTTCATAAAGATGCATTTGTTTACTACTGCCCTTTTTCTTTTTTCCACATCATGCGTAGTATGCCTCCACCGTTTCATAAAGATGTAGTATTTGTTTACTGCGGTCACTGAAGGGCCTCTTCCAAACGGAATAATGCCTGTGGAAATATATAGTCCGAATTGACTCACTGAGCATTAGTCACCGAGTACTATTTTTTGTAGAGAATGTCCAAAAAGCATCCGAGTCACAAAGTTGGGAATATTGAAACCTTTTTATTTCTTTAGTAGAAATATAAATATGCTTTAGTTTTCGGCACGAGGCATATTCCACATCATCTTGTTGTCATACCGATCCATGCTATGCATGGCCAGGGCCTAGGCCGCCTAGCTGATCGTATGGTGAGCACGTCATCACGCACCGGGAACACGAGGGAACATTCACTCCTCGAGATTCTCGTTACTTTGATATATGCGGAAACAATATTTTAATTTTTTTCGGGAAAGAATCAAATATGTTATAAAAGTAAAACATTTCAAACATAATAAAAATTACGTTGAAATTCCGAGACCCCCAACGAGCACTACCGCCGACGCGCTGCTGTCGTCGTTCCCCTGCCGAGCTAGCTTGACCTTGTCAATGACAACCGGGAAGTCTTCGTGCATGCGCCCCTAAGGACTAGCACCATGTAGCCCCAGCCATAGCCTTTGTTGAACTCTTGCGTAGATCTGAAATAATTGATATCAAATCTCGCTACATGACGAGAAATCTTAACCTCACCGCCCCAAGGAGACGGCAGGAGTCTATGTCGGAGCTCCATCAACTACGTCCAAACAGACGAACTCGGGGAGGATCGAAGCCCGAAAAATAAACTTGAAGAAGAAGCGTCACCATCCGCCCGAGGGTCGTGCCTGCGAGGACTAAAAAAACCTAATTTAAACTACTATCTGGAGCGGATGCGCCAAGATTCTCCTTCCCGCAACCGGCCAACGAAGTGGTGGGCAGAAGAGAGGCAAACCCACGAGCTCGCCAGTGAAGTGTGGAGTGAAAAGTTTGCCCTAGCCGCCTAGGATTAGGATAGGAAACACTATTTTAAATCTTTTATCCTAGATAAATAATAGTTGAAGTATGACCGTGTTTTATGTTGTCAGATATACACGATAAATAATCATGTAATTCTTGACACCTTGGCCGGTGTAGAAGTGCATGCTCTAGCCAATGCAACCAAAAGACCGATCTGATGGAAGAGACTATGCAATACATTTATATGTCAACATTCTCCCTCACGCCTAAACGTGGACTGAAAGTGGGCTGCAAGTTAATTGCGCCAGCTGGGTTTTGAACTCAAGACCTCTTGACTCTGATACCATGTAGAAGTACATGCTCTAGCCAATGCAATCAAAAAAAACGATCTGATGAAAGAGACTAGCCAATACATTTATACGTCAACAGCCGGGAAGTGAAGCACTTCAAGGTTCCTACCTCCTTTTTTGTAGGAAGATGAACAACCCTGAAATGAGTAATACAGCTAGTGCACATGCCTTTTCATTTGATGTTTAAGTGTTGGATGCTTCAAATCTATGCCAATATGCTTTTGTGTAGACGCATGCATCATGCATTTTAACAAGTATACAAGCACCTTGGAACTGATAAAATACCTAGTTTGTTTCAATTATTGTGTCTTGCAGAGTGTAAATTTTTGCCGTTGTGAAGTATGCTGTAACAAAATGGTTAGACCTAAAAACTGCTGCTGCCTTTTTCAAACCTTGATTAAAGCGAGCGACCAGTGTGGTCTCCACATAGTGAAACATAAGTAAAATATTATTTGCTTAAGTGGATACCTATGAGTCATATCTGACCAAACCTTATGACAGCGAAGGTTTGATGAGGTGTCCTGACAGTGAAGGTTTGATGACGTGCCCCGATGGACAAGCAGTAGTATTTAAGCAACCATCTTTGAAATTCTAACAAACAAGAGTAATGGGGAGGACATCGCCTTATGTTGTTTCATTTCTCGTAAGGTTTATCTATGGGGTTATGCAGATACTCACCAAAGTTGCTTTAAACCAAGGTACAAGTACATACGTTCTTGTCTTCTACAGGCATGTAATAGCTACAATGGTGTTACTGCCCATTGCTTTTGCAACTGAAAGGTATGCAGATTTTTGGCTGCTTCTTTGCTGGATCTGGATTTCATCTAGGAAGCATGAATTGAGATTTTATTTTTGCAGGAAAACCGCCCCACAACTGTCACACAAAGTCTGTCTGAAGCTATTTGTGCATGCATTATATGGGTAGGAAGTACGATGCAGAAGTGTTGTCTATACTTAATCATCTTGTTTATCAAATGGCATTGCTAGATAAAAAAAATGGATTTGCAATGATGTATTATTTTCATAATTTTGTATTTTATTGGAATGGGTGTATTCATGTGAGGAATTGTGACTTGGAGTTGTTGGACATCTATCTAATACCGTAATTGTTTCATTATGCTGGTTATCCAAACTTTATATGTTTGAAGTTCTTTTATGTGCATCCATGTGTACCCTCGCGATATAAAAAAGTTACTTTATTTTCATTAGGATCATACCTCGGTCGTGTTGGTTTCAGTGTAGTATACCCATCACCTTCATCAATTGCAAGCCGGCCTTTCTGACAGAGAATTTCAATTATATCATATTTAATCTATATTTCCAATATTTCCTCTTTGTGGGAAAGTAGCTATTTAGTTAGGTTAACTGATTTACTTTCGACAGAAATGTTATGCAAAGCTCAGAATTATGTAAATAGTTATTGTGTAAAATCGTACCATTTTTTTGGTTTACAACTGACCCTTGGTATTTCGTAGTTATCTTAACTGTTTCGTTTTCTTTATACATGTTACTCATCTTATTCTTGCAAATCTTTTACTAATAATCTTCTTTTAATTCATATCCCCAGGGTGTCTGCTTCTCTAAACATAGCATCTGTTGGCCTCAATTATGCTTCAGCAACTTCCGCTACTGCAGTACAAAATCTCCAACCAGTGTTAACTTTCTTTTTGGCTCTTCTGTTGGGGTATGCGTTTTTAATGATGATTGCATTACTTCCTTGAAGGCTAGGCCATTTTTTTTTCCGCTCGTGACAATTAAATTTTAAACATGTCATAAAGCTAATGTTACTAAATTTGTATTTAGGATATCCATACATAAGTAACACGAATATGTTATATACACAAGAATAGCTTGCATATCCCGCAAAAAAGAGAGAAAAGAATAGCTTGCATAAACGTCTGATTATGAGACTCAGTGACATGCATAGTTGAGATTGTAATTTAGAGATGTTCTGCAGCCTAACGAAATGGTTATATTGTGATGTTTATAACTCTTCATGTTAAGATCACAGGAAAGAAAAATATTCCTTTTGCTCTAGGAAACGACACAATTGTTCAGAGAAAGAAATATAATAATTAATTCAGTTCTACATGTTGTATCAATAGCAAGATCATCGTAGAACCTACTACCAAACCCAACCTAGCCGGTCCTAAACGAGGCCCAAAAGCTTGCCTAACCATTTCCGTGCGGAAAACTGTAGGGGCCTAGTTAAGCCTAATTTCGACGACTGGACTCAGCTTCTATCAAACTTTAGACAAAGGGTGGAGGTAACATCTTTGAGTAATAATTTTCTCTCTCATTAACTTTGCTTCAATAAAATAATTACAGAGATTTATATTTATTTAGAGTGGGAGTGCTAATCAATTGCTATTGGTTATGTTCGCGTGAAATCAGTTGTTTAACATGAACCATTAGTTGTTGATTTTTTCTGTTGTTGATTGTTTTTGAGATTGCTAATGAACCATCAGTTGTGTAAACCTACTTCTGTGTAGATGTGAGTGCTTTGATGAACTTGGTGTAGTAACGATAGTGGGAGTGAAAAATAAGTTCGACTTGTTTTGCATACAATGTGAACTTTTATGATCAAAATTCCGTGGATCAGTGAGTGATTTGTCGTGCCACTTATGGTAGAATGGAGTCATTGAAACTAAAGAGCTTTCATGGGATTGTGAAAGTTTCTGGTATAGTGCTTTGTGCCGTTGGTGTTGCCGTACTAGCGCTATACCAAGGACCTGAGCTCAAATCCATCATCCACCACCCTCTTTTTCATCACACAAGGCGAGTTGATATTCATGCCTCAAGGAGCTGGATATTGGGAATTCTCCTGCAGTCTCTTGCGACTCTACTGTTTGCTCTTTGGACAGTGTTTCAGGTATGCATCTCCCCCTGTGCGCACATTCAGGTGTGTGTGTGTGTGTGTGCGCGCGCGCGTGTGTGTGTGTGTGTCATGTGTG